GAGGAGTCCAGGCCTCTTCAATCAGTCGAAAGACAGAATCGAAATAAGTCAGATAGAACTGCCAGTCATCTGAGCTAAAATCAGATTAAATGATGCACACAGGATTAAACCAAAGATGTGAGGAATCTGCCTTAGGAACCAGGATATTCAGCTTATTTTCTAAGTTATATTTCAGTGTGCACCAGGAGTGGCCCACCCCTCCCTCTAGACCTCCTCAGCAACACTGAAAGGGCAGAACTCAGCGGCTTTTTCAAACTAAAAAACTTGTAAGAAACTATTCTTTCCTTCCACAAATTGACCAGGTCTAGAAATCTAATATGTTCTTAACAGAAAACTCACCAGATAAGTACTTCCTAAATGGGGTGGAGGGAGGGATATATAGAAAGGAATAAAGCCTCGCTTGTTAAAGCCTATAATGAATTTGGTAAATTATGATTTTCAGCATTCATTCCCAAGACCTAACTAATATTTAACACTATGGTGGCATAAGAATAGTCTTTTACCTCTTCACAGAAAGATAATGGGCCACTGAAAATGTGATAACAAATAAATAAACAAACAAAAAAGCCCCAACCAGGACACAACTTCTGAAAGGGTATTCTATGTCCACAAGACACACACACACACAGACACACACACACACACACACACACACAAAATAATGAGGCCATCAAGCTTCACTGTGGTCTCGTAGTAGAAAACGAAGCACCTACTCACTTTTTTAGTAACAAGCGCCGGGAAAGGGCATTGCACTCGGGCCACCGGCTAAGCTTCTTGTACATGGCCATGCATTTGTTTTCCCGACTCTGGATCTCACTTGTTAGCTTCTCTACAATGAAAAGTTATAAAAGTTGGTAAGCTGATTTCCTTTATGCTCAAAAACCAGAATGAAATCCAACCACAAGAAAAAATGTCACATTTTCTTATTTGCTCACTTAGAAAACAGAACCACAATTAGATCCTAACTGCTATCTTATTAAAGATTATTTTGCCAAAAAGAAAACAGTCTATTTGATACTAAATTTTCATAATCACTTTCTCTGGAAAATACACAATCCTGAATAACTGGGTTGAGAATCTAGTAAGTGGGATGGAGAAAGCGAAACGTAGGTAGGTAGGTAGGTAGATGTATGTATGTATGTATGTACGTACGTACGTATGTATGCTTTTGCCATAGGGCGCATGTTCTCACCAGAAAGACAGAAAGTGACAGAGACAGAAAATGAGAAATCACACCCCCAGGGGGGATGGCCATGTTGCAATCCCTTCTCTTCCATTCTCCTTTTGGAATCTTGGGCACATACACACTCATGCCTGGTGCAAGTTTAAACCACTGGTCTAGGACTCAAACCATGGTCGACTACATGGGAGTCCAGCAACACAGACATTATGCCAACCGCTGGTCCCCAGGGGGATAGATTTATAAAACCCCAGCACAATGCAGAGAATGGTAAATATAGTCCATAAACGAACTTCTCAGCCACACTTCAAATAGGGCTGGGCTGTAATAAAGTAAGCAAGGTGAGATGTAAGAAGGATGATAAGAGAAATGAATCAAACTCTTTTCTGACAGCCAGAAACAGAAAAAACAGGACTACAGTTCTGATCAAATGAGATTTACCCTGTCCTTTAAAACAGCTGAGCAAATGAAGGATACCCACAAACCAAATTTGCTGTGGAGGTCTAAATTTTAACTATCCATAAAGCTATAATCTAGTTGAATAAAAACAGAATGATAAAATAGTACCTATTTGCAAGAAAGCTCAGAGATTAGGTTACATTTATGGGGGGTGGGGAAGCTTCCCTCTATGTTTTAAGCAATTAAACAGCATTCCACTTGTATTTTATGACTGCACATAATCTAGAAAAGGATATTCATACTTGGATGATGTAACCGTTTTAGTGACTATAGCTAATAATGGATCTAAGGCGACTCACATGCAGTTAGTTGCTCCTACTGACTATAAGGGCACAACTGAAAACTAGATTTGTCAAAATAGTAACCGCAGGTCCAGGAGATGGAGTGGAGGTTGAGGTGACAGGATACCACAAGGCTGACTAAGCAGTTTGAGTCCCAGACCCACTGGCTTGCATGGTGGGTGTGCATACATGCCCAAAATCCTGAGAGGAGAATGGAGGAGAAGGGATTGCAGCATGGCCATCCACGAGGAGAGCTCCCATTCCCCTGTCCTCTGTGTCTCCCTGCCTCTTTCTGTGGCAAGTACATGCAACCCACCGCAAAAACAAAAACTAAAAAAAAAAAAAAAAAAAAACAAACAAGAAAAGCCAACAACTTTAAGAAAACTTTAAAAATTACCTCCTAATTTCCCTCTGATGACATCCAAGGCTTCCTGGTACTTTCCCAAACGTTCCAGGATCATATAATAAAGTTCAACCTTACAGAAAGAACAAATGAAAAATACAATCACTGAAACTTCTTAATAATACAAAGAAAGTCATCTTTATGTTTGTAAAGTTACATAGGAAGTCAGAGGGTGGTACAGGAGTAATGCAATGCTCTGAGAGGCTGACCTATGAGGAGAGATTCCAGGCTTGCATCCAGAAACCTCCTTGAACATCTGGGCATGATCAAGCTACAGTCTGGGGCTGGCTAAAGCTGGGGGTAGATCATGACATGAAGATCCTATTGAGGGTGCCTGTTTCTCTTCCTTATAAAACTTTTAATAAAGGTTACTTAATGGAAAATAATACTATCTTCAAATGAGATGAAATTGACAATGAAAATCTAGTAATAGGCCCAACCACACTGACACACGGGTACCACCATTGCTGAAGGTCACGAGGGAGACATGGGTTCAGTTTCTGAGGAAACCTGAGCACTCTGGGTGTGCCGGTAATCCTAGCTAAGTTGAGGCTGGGACAGGTAGATGGTGACAGGGTGAGAACTTGTCAAGAATACCTATCTCTGTCTCTCCCTCTCCCACCCCTTTTACTGCTCATGAAGGGGGGGAAAGAAGAAAAAGATTTCTGACAACAGTATCTCTTCTAACCACACACATCTCAGCCTGATTTACGTTTCGGATAGCTCAGTGTTCTTTATACCTAGGCTAAGCCTCCAAAGTTTCACATTCACACAAAGGCCAAGATCCAGCTAAGGAACTAGAATAAAAAAATCATTCATAATATTGTAACTTCGTGTAGTAGGACTTTGAAAACATACATGTCGAGGTTAAATTACTCACTTCAGCCTCGGCCTCAATTTTATCTTCTTTCACCATTTTTTCTACCATTCTCTCAGCAAGGGGAAGAAACATGGTTTTTGAAAGGTTTTCGTCCTGTGCTGATATAGACTAGAGGAGAAAAATACAAATGTTTCATTCTAATTTCTCCCCTTCCTGCACTATTTTTATTAGTATGCAGACCTTACTGACACTCTGAAGCATAAATATCAGTCCACTAAGTCAAATGTTAGAACTAATCTGAATTTGCCAAGAGGACACATTAGAGAATAGTTTGCTGTATAAGAGATTTCTTGAGGCCAGCAAGTGGTGTAGGGGTTGAGGTGCAGGACTCCAAGATGGCCGACTGCATCAGGTGTTTGAAAAACCTTTCAGCTATCTCTTTAATATGTTCTCATATTAGAAGAATGGAAATGCCAATTCCTGCTACTTATACAGTTTACTATTAGCTACAGCTACTTTAACAGATCATTAAAATTAATGCATCTTACTAGTGATTTTAATATTGCCAAAGATTCAGGGCTGGCAGGTGGTGTGGTGGTTACGGTTAAAGTGTTGGACTCCCACATGGCCTACCATGCATGGTTCGAGTCCTGGGCCTGAAGGCTTGCTTTCTCACTTTCCTTCTCTCTTTCTCTCTGTCACTCTCTGGTCAAATTTAAAATAACAACAATAATAATAACATTAAATAAATAGTTCTTTAAAAAATATATATTGCCGGGACCAGCAGTTGGCGTAATGGCTATGTCGCTGGACTTCCATATAGTCGACTGTGGTTCAATTCCTAGACCTGGTGGACTAAACTCATGCCGGGCGCATGTGGGTGCGTGCCCCAGATCCTGAGAAAATGGAGAAGGGATTGTGGCGTGGCCATCCCCGCTGGAGAGTGATTTCTTACTATCTCTCTGTCTTTCTCTGTCTCTCTAGCGAGTGCACGCACCCTATAGCAAAAACCTCTCAAAAAAAAAAAAGTATGTATATATTGCCAAATACTCTGCTCAGAGTTAATTTAATTCTTATAAATAATCTTTCAAAGTAGATCTTACACTTGCTTTACAGATAAATAAACTAAGGTTAAAAGATTTCCCAATAGTTCTCTATAAGACAAGTATTCAAAAAGAAATCTGTCTGACTTCAGATTGTCTACATTTGAGTTCCTTCTTTCCCATCATTTAAAAAATTTTTTTCTTGGGAACCAGCAGTTAGCATAATGGCTATGTCGCTGGACTCCCACGTAGTCGACCGTGTGTCCCGGACCCAGTGGCTTAAAACTCACACCGGGCACATGTGCGTGCGTGCCCAAGATCCCGAGAGGAGAATGGAGGAGAAGGGATTGCGGCGTGACCATCCCCCCTGGGGAGTGATTTCTCGCTTTCTGTCTCTATGTCTCTGTCTGTCTGGGCCCTATAGAGAAAAACCTCTCAAAAAAAAAAAAAAAAAAAAAAAGAGAAAAAAACAAAATAAAATTTTTTTTTCTTTTTTAGATTTGTGCCACTGGGTACTCGAATTCACCTAAGAAAGAGTGAGAGAGAAGAGAGATAAAGTGGGAAATCACCCCCTTAGGAGTGCAATCTGTCTCCTTCATTCTCTCTCAGGATTTAGGGTGTGCAGACACATGTTCAGTTTGTTTTTCAAGCTGCCAGGTTTGAGACTTGGACTACGGTCAGCCTTGTAAGATCCAGTGCCTTAACCACCACACTACCTGCTGGTCCCTTCCTTTTTTTTTTTTTTTTTTTTTTAATTTATTGTTATTTTCACTTTGCTGTAGAGCTTGTGTGCTCACCAGAGAAAGAAAGAGACAGAGAGAAAAGGCGAGAAAGCAAGCCGTCAGCCATGTGGGAGTCCAACACCTTAACCACCACGCCTTGTGCTGGCTGCTCCCCATCCTCTCGTAATATAGAATCTTATTTTGGTCCTTACAGAGTTCTGGAAGATAAAGATCTCCATTGTACAAAAGAGAAAACCCAGGCTCAAAGAGAAGTGATAAAACAACATTACCCAGTTTAATGATGTGTTCAGTAATCAAGACAATTTTTCTAAAAGAATTATTTTAACTTTATTTATTCATTCATTTATTTATTTTAATTTGACCAGACAGGGACAGATCAGAGAAAAAAAGAGAGAAAGAGAGAGGGAAAGTGAGAAAACAAGCTCCCAGGTCCGGGACTCAAACCACGGTCAGCCATGTGGAAGTCCAGCACCCCCAACCACTACACCATCTGCAGGTCCCCCTACGTAATTTTCTTAAAGACAAACCTCAGGTTGAAATAGTAAACATTTTCAGTCTACTACTTGATCGAATAACTCAGAAATATATCTAAAATTCAGGGGCAATACAATCTACATTGCACACAAATAAACCAATACACCAACTCAAAGAATACCAAGGAAATCCACAACTTAAAAGTCAACTGACAATATGTAAAAAGTCACTGTTTTGACACATGCCACAACATACTACCAAGATGTTTAGAAGACACATTAGGACAATGACTATATACGAAAATGAAAACAAACCTCAATCCCCTCCTGAATGCCATACTCACTTGCATAATTAAGCTCATCACAGACCAAAAGTAGTAAGGGTTTTTGGGAACAATCTTATATAGAGCCATGCCAGCCTGAAAGACAGAGAGCCATAAATACGCAATTTAGAAAATACCATATAGATCTAGACACGAGGCAAGAAGATTCCCAGAAGAGCCACACATTTGCCTGTCCCAGTTACCAATAAGTGCCTAGTGACCTGATGGCTATTACAGCAGAGGTTTTTACAAGGTAATTTTTTACAGCATGAGTGGTATTTCACCTTTCCAACCAGAGCTTTCTAAAATTAAAGCCCAATATTTCTTTTAATTTTTATTTTTAATTCATTCATTTATTCATTCATTTGTTTTTAGAGAGATCTTTGCTATAGGGCATGTGTGCTTAACAGAGAGACAGAGATAAAAAGTGAGAAATCACTCCCCGAGGGAGTAGCCATGCCATAATCCCTTCGCCTCCATTCTCCTCTTGGAATTTTGGGCATGAACACACACACGCCCAGCATATTTCAAGCAGCCAGGTCCGGGACACAAACCACATTCAATTATGTGGGACTCCAGCAACATAACCATTACGCCATCAGCTAGTCCTTAAAGACCAATATTTCTATAATACATTGCAATCTGGTAATGTTCTAATAAGACTACCAAGTGAACACAAAATTTGGCTTATGAGTTTATATCAATAAACAAACCTACTGAAGATACCACACTAACCAGGCATAATAAAACAAAGAAAATGACAATACGTGTAAACTTCAAAATCAGAAGTATGGTGGTTAAGGATCCCAAGAAGAGAATGGAGGAGAAAGGATTGTGGCGTGGCCATCCCCCTTGGGCGGGGGTGTGTGTGTGTGTGATTTCTTTCTTTGTCTCACTGTCTCTGACTGTCTTTCTGGCGAGTACACAAGCCCTATAGCAAAAACCTCTTGGGACCAGCAGTTAGCGTAATGGCCATGTCGCTGGACTCCCATGTAGTTGACCTCAGTTCGAGTCCTGGACCCGGTGGCTTAAACTCACGTCGGGCGCGTGTGCATGCATGCCCAAGATCCCGAGAGGAGAATGGAGGAGAAGGGATTGAGGCGTGGCCATCCCCTCTGGGGGGTGATTTCTCGCTTTCTGTCTCTATGTCTCTGTCTGTCTGGCGAGCGCATGTGCCCTATAGCAAAACCCTCTCCAAAAAAAAAAAAAAACCTCTCAAAAAAAATTTATATATTTCCTATATATATATATTTTTTTTTTGGGGGGGGACACCAGAAGATGGCAAAATGGTTACCATTCTGTCACTGGACTCCCACATGGCTGACAAGGGTTTGAGTCCCAGAACCAGACCCAGATCCGTGGTTTCAAAATCACATACTGGGTACGTGTGAGTGCAGGCCCAAAATTCCAAGAGGAGAATGGAGAAGAGATTGTGGTATGACCATCCCCCCAATGGGTGACTTCTAACTTTCTGTCTCTCTGTCTCTCTGGTAAGTGCACACTCCCTATAGCAAAAATCTCTCTAAAAATAAAAATACATATTAAGGCCAGTAGATGGTGTAATGATTACATTCCTAGACTCTCACGTAGTCCATCACAGTTTGAGTCCCAGATCCGGTGGCTTAAAACACACCAGGCGTTTGTGCATGGCTAGTATACATACGTGCCTAAAATCCCAAAAGGGGAATGGAGGAGAAGGAATTGCGGGATGGCCATCCCCACTGGGATGTAATTTCTTGCTTTCTGTCTCTCCAGTAGGTGCATACACTTTATAGCAAAAATCTCTCTTTAAAAAAAAAAAAATATATATATATATACATATATATATATATATATACATATATCTATATATATATACATATATATAGATATATGTGTGTGTGCGCATGTACGCATGTGTGTTTATATTTTTTAGGATCGTAAAAGTGACATATGCCTTAAAAAAAAAATCAGGGTGCCAGAGGTAGTGTGTTGGTTAAGGGCACTGGACTACCACATTGCTGACTGCAGTTCGAGTCCTGGACTTGGCAGCTTACTTTCTCACTTTCCCTATTTCTCTCTCTCTTGCTCACTCTGATTCTCATTGTGTCCCTCTCTGGTCAAAGTAAAGTAAGTAAATAAATAAAGATAAATAAAATAAATTTTTTTTTTTTTGGAGAGATTTTCACTGTAGGGCGCATGCGCTCGCCAGACAGACAGAGAGAGACATAGAGACAGAAAGCAAGAAATCACCCCCCAGGGGGGATGGTCATGCCGCAATCCCTTCTCCTCCATTCTCCTCTCGGGATCTTGGGCACGCACGCACACGCGCCCGGCGTGAGTTTTAAGCCACCGGGTCCGGGACAAGAACCGCGGTCGACTACGTCGGAGTCCAGCGACATAGCCATTATGCTAACTGCTGGTTCCCAATAAAATAAATTTTTAAAGAAAAAAATAAAAATCAAGATGAAAGCATCCATAGCTCCAAACCTAGACAAACTTTTGGTATATATTCTTAGAAATATAGTATAGGGGCGAACAGGTAGCATGATGGTTAAGGGAACTGGACTCCCACATGGCCAACTGTGGTTCGAGTCCTGGACCTGATGCATTGCTTTCTCACTTTCCCGCTTTCTCTTTCTCTCAGGTCAAATTAAAAATAAATAAACATGGGACTAGTAGATGGCGTGGTGGTTAAAGGCGCTGGATTCCCACAAGGGCAACTCCGGTTTGAGTCCTGAACCTGGTGGCTTGCTTTCTCACTTTCCCTCTCTTTCTCCCTCTCTGGTCAAATTGAAATTTTAAAAAAATGTATATATAAATAAAGTCAAATAAAATAATTCTTTAAAAAAATTAAAATTTTTAAAAATATGTAAATAAAATAAAATAATTATTAAAAAAAGAAATGTAGGGACCAGCAGTTAGCATATTGGCTATGTCACTGGACTCCCATGTAGTCGCCCGCAGTTCGAGTCCCAGACCCGGTGGCTTAAAACTCATGCTGGGTGCATGTGTGTTCATGCCCAAGATCCATAGAGGAGAACAGAGGAGAAGCGATTGCGGTGTGGCCATCCCCCCTGGGGGGTTATTTCTCGCTTTCTGTGTGTGTCTCTGTCTATGTCTGGCGAGGGCACACGTACTATA